TTCACCACCTGCTTCCTAATGACTCGCTTTTATTGTATCGTTAAAGATGGATCGTCCTAAAGTTCAGCGCTTCTACGGCTTTCTAACTTTTCCCGCATCCACACGTGTCACCTATGCCCAGCAAAGACCGAGAACAATTAGGAAAGCTTTCGAACCGCTTTAGGAAGCCAATACTGAGAGTTTTGTAGTACCTCCAGCTTATTGGGAATAAATGGAGAAATGAGGTCATAGATTTGTAAAAAATCACAAATGGTTTTGGCCAACTCGCCACAAAGCACATTTGGCTGTTAACCTGTACCTCGTAAAGCCTGTCGATCCATTAGGACCATAGCTCTAGGCTCAATGCATACAGCCCTATCGCCGCATACCATAATTAGGTGCTAATCTCTCATGAGCACTGCAAATGAAATCACGTACACTGGCACAATCCTCTGCCGCAAGGTGTGGCTACTGACAATGGAGCACCAAGTGCAGGCCTGAATCAGAAGGGCTATTTAGTATAGAACGGGGATGCGGGACAGCAGCGGGCAGACAAGTGACCGCTTTGTTTAAAACTCACTTAGCATAAGAGAGAAGTTTAAAGCAAGCAGCTGAATTTGTGCCAGCATAGAGCTGCCATTGCTACAAAAGGGTGCGAGCGGTTTCTTCCGTATAGTCACCTGAGTAATGGTAATTCGCAGTAGTCAGATTGTGATCAAATTGCAGGTGGGTCATAAAGGCAAGTCAAGATACAGTAATGAGGTTAGTATCCTTTTCAGTAACTGTACTCCTGCGGAATCCATGAAGCCTGCAGATGTCAGCTATCAGTAATTGAACGATATCCTGAGCAGTGCTAGAGCTGGGAATTGAGTGGGGCTTGCCAACAAAAGCGTAGACGGCCTTCTGACCCCTGACCTCCAGCATTCCAACAATCGATTTCACACTCAGGTCAGTTTTATTCCTTCAGGAACCGGATGGCTCTGCAACAGCGCGGCTTTCTGTGCTGTGTGGCTTCATTCGTCGACAATCTACGCGTGGCAGTGCACACTACACTGCCACGCCAGCAGGCGCTGGGCAACCGTCTGCAGCGATCGCAAAGGGCTTTTAGCCCCTAGACTGATGCCAGTCATAATAAAATGATCAAGCCGAAGAATGGCCTGAATGAATTCAGACAACTCTTGTTTGGGAACCTGACATTCTACTGCAGCTAGCCCACTCGATAAGAAACAGCCACATCACACCACGCAGTGCGTCCAGCTGTGACGCTCCATTTACTTCTCCGTAGGCAGACACTCAACCAGATTAGATTGATACTGAATAAGAACTGTGGAGTGCTTCTGAGTCCACGCTTCCCTGCCCAAGATCCTCAAGGCTCCGACATGAGGAGTGAAGAAGCTAGGCTTATGCGTAGATGAACCCTTTTAGGCATTTTAGCATTAACAGCTATTTTCACAGAGCCTATGGCGCACATACACATAACATTGCATTTTCGTGTATGCATCTAATACGGATCTGCAATAAATTAGGAGCACGAGCAATCCAGCTAGCCAATTCTTCAGTTCTTAGTTAACTCGAAGCGGTGAAGTACAAGTGCTCAAGTGGAGCTATGCCCTTTGAAACTACGGCATTTACGTGCAAGGAGATCCTACACGCCTTGAGATACGGCAAAACTAGAGATAAACTGTTGCCTCCAGAAGGGTGTGCTCAGGAAATACAGAAGGAGTACCGCTATTTATTGAGAAATGCCTATGGTATCCAGCAAAAAGCCTCCAATAGTGTTGTCAAGTGTCTATCTGTGAAGATACTCACTGTAATATATCACTCATTACAGCTACGGCTTTTAGTAAAGCTGGAGCTAGCGGCCGTTTGGTCTCCACTTTCTTCCATGTAGCACTGCAGAGAGAGACCGGTCGAGGGCTTTGAACAAAAGGCCCCCAGCGTTATGCTATATTAAAGCATTACGTAAAACAATAAATTGTGTACCATGCACGCTTTTAGTAGGGTGTGCTTTGGTGTGTGTTGCTGATAAAAAGAGGAAGACCTCTAATTTTTCATGTTTTTTGGAATACGCCCAAGAAATTTCCTCTCCTTTGCCGACCCAAAATCGCAAATATTGCTTGAAAGAATGCATGTGATCCTGGATGCCCAACACTTTGTGGGCAAAGTTTATCCGCAAGCTCGACTCTTCATACGGTCTCACACTGCCTGGGTAACAAGAAGACTCAAACCAGGCTCTTTAATTTTACCTGTTTGAATGCTCGAAAGGCACGGTGGAAGGTATTATGACGGTTTGCATTTTTTAATCAGAAGGATGTACACACAGACAATGAGGGGCCAAAGTAGCTAGCCAGATTACAGATTGACGCGATACGCGCATTATAGTTGGTTCGTCTCAAGCCTAAGAAACGAATAAACGGAGGCAGCATTATTCCACCATGCAGAGCACTTAAAGAGATATAATGAAGGACTCCGACTTAAGCGCCCATAGCAGAGTGAAGACTATGGAAACGCCCGCGATTGCCATGAACTACTGCCCAGAGACGCGCACAAGTCACCCATTAAGGTTGCATTACCATCAAATGAAGAGGTGGGCTCCGCGCAGTACCTACCAGGTATGGCTAATTGGAGCGTACGTTGCCGCTGGGCGCTCACGTCTGAAAAAATTTTGTCTTTGGTGGTACTGGATTTTGCTGAGCAGAAGTATTTGGGTTACCAGTGAGGCTGGGCGGTCCCCCAGGCTCTGGAACTGTAATGAAATCTATCTCGCCTATGGAAGGGGCTGAGTATCTTGTGTGGAGTCATAACCTCTGCAGCCTTGTAATTCTGTTAGCTGCCAACAATTAGTGAAACGTGGCCAGAGCAAGATGCACATCACTTTCAAGAAGGATGCACAATCTTTCTAGTTGCGTGTGTTGAGTCGCCTCAGTGCTCCTAACCCAGTATCATCCAGTCTACCTGCTTAGATGTTCTAGACTAATCTAACTATGAGCTCTATTGTTGACACGCCCTCTGTAAAAAATTAAAAGGGCATCAACTTTGCTGTCAGGCGGCCCAGTAATAATGATGGTATCGCTCCGTATTCTAGTTTGACAAATTGGAAGTAGGTGTAATATATCTTACTCATATCGAGAAGCTTCATAAGCTGCTTACAATGTAATTGCGACTGCATATCGGAATAGCTGTACTTGGGATTGTGTTATGCTGTTGTCTCAAGGCTAAAATTGGACTGTTTGTTGACCCTTTGGAACGACCCAAAGTCCACTGTGTAGTGTTCTAGGGTCTGTGTGCATCAGCTTCACAGCTATGGTATTTCCCTCGCGCGTGCGGATCTGCTGTACAAAAGGGAGCGCACTACTGTACTGACCGTTTCCGTGTTCCCCAAATTCACAGAGGGGCCACGATCGAATGCTGTCCTCGATCTGGCATCCTGACGTACAAGGATCTACTCTAGTGATTTACTATTGGACACGCTACCGAACAACACTGGAAGCTTTCCCAATGGAGCTTGTCGGCGGAAGCAAAACACTAGCCCGTCCGTCTTTCACCCCTCGATTAGTTTCTACGAAATATTTGGAGCCCGTTGAAATAAACTTTGCATATGAGCTTTGTTTGGAAGAAAGACGGCCTATGCATATCCGCCTACATGCTCTGCCGTGCAGATGACTGATATTTGTGACTGAAAAACCTAAGAACCCCGCAAGTGCCAGACTCGGCGTCTAAAGTGTTTCGTTAATGACCTTAGACCAAATTTTTGCTAATATGAGCTACAAAGATTTGATTTTAGTTATTTTGCGGAGTAGTGGAAAAAAGGCAGTGCGTAAGAACTCGTTGGTGGCCCTGTTTGCCGTTGATGCTCGTTGCAATTGGTAGAAACTGGCGGTTTTTCCGAACTTAAGCTTAACTCAATGGAATTGAAACCCCTAAAGGTTTAGCACATTTATATTCACAACTTGGAGCTCACCGTTCGCAGTTCTTTCCTTGTAAAACGGCGCGTATTGTACGCTTAGGCAGTCGCTGTTTTTTGTTCATAAATTCGAATTTGGGGGGTTTCGAGAAAAAGCGACGAATAGCATCAAGCTGGTTGTCAGACAACAAATAAGTAAGCGAGTATAATGTGGATTATCAAAGTTCGAAAACGAGTAGACATGCACTACTGTTTCCCTCGACGCCTCTGCACATTTTACCTGTTCACCCACCACCATAGCCACATTAGTACGGGTGAGCATTGCTGTTCTGCTGGTGTTTGGCACGGCTATGCCTTATTCGTTTTTTTAATGGCCTTGTCTTTCTCAGCGCTTTCTTTTTTCTGTTTCGCTGGACGAAGGAATAGGTTTGCATCTCTCGAGTGGCTCAAGTTGCCCACTTGTCGTGTGCTTCGGTAACAGCGAATACACAGGCATTCTGCCTATTTGCCTGCGAGTGTACTTGAGTGCCCTAGTTGAAGTGCGAGAGAGAATCGTTTCATAGACAGTCTTTGCGCGTGTGCCAGGGTGAAGTACACTTAGGCAGTTAATCGTATATCAATTCATGCTTCCTTGGTCACTGCTTAAAGCTTGCTGCGTAAAAAAGGCAGTTAATCGTACATCAATTCATGCTTCCTTGGTAACTGCTTAAAGCTTGCTGCGTTGTTTTGCGGCTAGTATTTCCTATTGAGACGACTCAAGGCTAAATAAGCGCTATAAACATACATGATATGTGATAGTATACCCTATAAGTCTGTGTGCAAGTACCACGACCGCTCAGAAAGTGAAGAGTACTCGGAGTCTCGCCGTGCCTCGTCTCTCACGGAGGTTCTCTGCTCGTAGCCAACAAGGGAGGATGCTGACTACTTAGGGGAACAAGAATAAGGCTTTTCTTCAGGCTTTGAGCGCGTTTCTGCACAATGTGACTCATAGATGAGAATATCGAAGACCAATACTGCGTACTATAGTCTTCAAAGGAGCGCGGGCTGCGCCGTATTACTAGTCGGAGTCTAGACTCCAACTGATTTATCGTTCATGGACAGATGCATTTTGATTAAAATGGCGAGTTGGATATTTCCTCTCGATGGCACCTGGAAGCGTCTGGGATCTGCGGCCGGCCTCGAGCAGTCTGAGGAGATTGACGGTGGCAGTGGAAACCATTGTTTTTCGGGTTGTTTGAATATATTTCGAAGTCTACAAGACTGTGCATCAAAATACTTCCGAAAACTATTGCCAGTAAGACATTGGTATGTGTGTGTAGGGTGCAGACACTCCCAGGGACTGAAGCCATCCAAAGGGCCACTAGGGAATTCGGCCTGGACGCGGGCCCCACAGCCGAGCCGATACTGATCCATCTCATTCATAAGACATTCGCAGTCATTTTTGCACTGGAATTCGCCTTTGGGGACTTGAAAAAAGGGATACGAATGTGAAACTACATCAGTGCCGGCTCTTTTCATGTTGGCCTCCGGAGGTTGCGTGATGCAGAATGTTGCGTAATGTGAAGGCGGAGAGCCCAAATCCTTGAAAAGCAATGGCATATTCGTGAAATCACTTAATTTACCTGTACCAGAGTATCCTCCTATTACCAGCCTGTCTTTGTCGACGAAGACACAAATGACGCATCTGGCGCCAGACTGTGCGATTTGCTGCGAACCTCTGACTACAAATTTGGCGACCTCGTCGAAATGCGGCCATATTTATCACAATGTTTGGTGAGTCAGGGATTTAAGCCCTCAGTAGGCCATGCAACGCAAATGTGATTCAGTATCTGATTCACCAAATTGTCTAGCAGAAACGACTCAAATTGGTCTTGAGCCATTCCGATCCCAGCTTCCTTCAACTCAAAGGTTAAAAGGATTAAGTCACATAATTTTTGGTGTTTTGTGAATAATTTTGTCCGTTGGCGTGTGAGTAGCCTGAGACGGTGGCTCTGTTCGCAGCCCCTGATATCTGCGCGGAGGTGCCCGATATGTAGGGGCCCATGCAGAAACTCAGAAGTTGTCAGCCTTCAGTTTGAGTTATTGACGCCTCCAGAGGGTACGAAGCTATCTTGGGTGAAGGAACCTTCCCGTCTCCCCCAGTATTGCGTGGGAGAATATGTGTCCGCGGGGATTGGTCCACAAGCAGACACAAGCGTTCATTTTGCCTTGCGTGGAATGAGTGCAACATTGTTGGTTGCTTTTTTCGATGCAATTTTACAGCTATCACTGCATCAGGTGGAGAAAATGAAGCGGTGCTCCAGGTATGTTTGGCTAGACATTTATCTTTCATCGAATAGCTAGTTGCTTCGTTCCATGGTTTCCACAGGGGTCTGAAGGGGCAGAACGTTTACTGTCGGGTTTAGATGTGTTCTGACCCCTACACAAATCGTAGTACTCTCTTTGTTTTTGCCTTCCTTCCCCTATGCAGATGCGGTTGTCTATGGCTCGTGCAAATGTCAATGCGCTCCTGGAAGCAGATGCCAGGCGGGAAAGAGAACACGAACTGCTGAAGGTGGGAGTACACAATAACATTGCTCATTTAAGTCAGCGAAGTAGAAATTTTGGTTTTCTCTTAACACGCAATGAAAAGTTAAGGACAACTAATGACGCCGCGCCGAAAGAACACGGATGCGAAGATGTCCCTCGAATCGGAAGCCGCTCACTCAAGCTGTGCACACCACATACATACCATTTATATAGTGCAGAAAACGAAATATTTGTCCCGCTGAAATTCCTGCTACATGATTGGTGCGTGCTCCAAAATCGAATGTGCATGTCCGAGATTCAGCGCAGCCCTTCCGTCCGTTGCCATTTATTGCACAATGCTGCGCGCTAATCGTGTTATTCCCAGAATCGCGTATCAGTGTTAGAGGACGAGATCCACTCTCACGTTTCGAGGGCAACAGAAGCTGAGGCGAGGGCAGCTGACTTTCGCACACGACTGGTCAGAGCGAATGCATCCAAAGACAGACTCGCTGCAGAGCTGGTACAAGCCAAAAAACAGCTCGACATTGAATCCACCAGGAGGCAATAGTAAGTTTGAAGCAATTCAAAGTTAGGGGCTACACCGAACACGCCGTATCAAGGTTGTGCGCTAGTTCTGTCACTGAGGCTCCTAGATTTTCACAGCTGTTAGGCAAAAGCCTGAACGGCTGAAGATGTCTTGGTGCGGTGCCATACTGTACATCAAACTTAGCCTCACATCCTAATGACTTTAGTGATGTATGTATCTGAGCCGTTTCGTGTCGCAGTCTAAGTGAAGCTACATTGATGAGCGAGACGCAGGCTTTCGAGTTTCTTCAAGGGGAAAGAGGCGTAGGCAAAATTATTCTACCCTTGCGCATGAATTAGACACCAGAAGGCCGGTTTTATTTAGTTGATTGACAAAAGCCGAATACAGCGCAATTATGACTCTCTACTATTGACCCGTATGTGTCTATGTTTTTGTGCCTCGTCCTTTCTCCCTTACATCTGCCCGTGACCTGCGAAAGAGACGAGCCGTACAGCAGTGACCCTACACTTACTGGTTTACCCTATAGTTGAGTATGACAAATATAATTTGAACAATTTAAGGAGAACCTACAGGACCTTTTAATGCTGCAGGAGGGTATCGATGGGGCCTTGAGGCTGCAGCATAGTGCCATCTGCGAATTGCAGAGGTAAGGAACTGCCGCAAGTTCGCGAAACGGGCACTGGGCGATTTGTAAATAGTGAAGCTGATAGACACATCCGAGCTAGTGGTAAATGAGGAATTTTAGAGTGATTAATGATGAGCAGACAGTACGCAGCTTGAATCAATCACATCCTCGTGAATGCAGTGTGTAAAACTGCCGTTTCGGTTCTTGGCAGCGAAAATGCCCGGTTGAGGTCTGAGAAAATGGAGCAGAGGAGACAACTCAAGGCCGAAATACAGCGCAAAGATGTTGTCATTCAACGGTAAGCTCAGATAACTCCAGATCCTTTACTAACCGTCAACTTTCAGGGTCTAAAAGTAGGGAACGCAGAGCAATCGTCCTGCAAAGCTTAGACGGCTGAAAATTTGATGCACGGGCAGGCGAGGCTTGTGGATGAGGCAAATCATGGCTCTGCGCTGACCCTGCGAATATCTCTGCAGACTCAAGTCCACTGAGATTGTTCGTGACCTCATAGCGTGCGTTGTCACACCTTAATGAGTTAGAGCATCTCTTTGTGTTAAGGGGTTTTCTTCCCACAGCAGCGTTCTCATGGCAAAGCGCACAATTGGCTATTTGCTGTATTCTACATAAAGAAAATAGTTCTTTATCATATGCTACTTGCTTTCCAATTTTCCCGAACTAAAATAAAGACGCGCCCTGTGGTGTTTCAACAGGCCAGCAACAGAAACGCGGCAGCAGCAGCTGCGGGGTGCAGCAGCGGAGTCTGAAGGGATGCCCAAGGTTTCTCGAGTGGCAAAATCACAAGCAACGCAGAAAACCGTTTCGAAGGCTACTCACAATACACGAATGTCTACAAGCTCCCGCTCGTCCACTACTACAACACCCCGTGCTAGTACACCCCAAAATTTACGTTCGAAACCAAAGTCGATTTCACAGCCTGTTACACCCAGGCGGCCTGCAGCTTGGAGGCTCGATGGCAGTGTATCTGAATGCGGCAACCGTCGTTCTACCAGGAATGCAGCACACGCCTTCGCCGCACCGTCAACCAGACGACTAGTTGGCAAGAAAGGGCAGGAAGGGGTGTCGCCTGGTAGCGCTACTGCAAAGCAAGTGGCCACCGCGCGGCCTCTAAAGCAGCAGCAGCGATTAGGGGTCTTCCTGAATATTTCGCCGTACAACTTGTCCTTCAGCCTGGTTTGTTTGTGGCTTATTTTTGTGTTTCTGACGCCGCTTTCAACAGAACGTATATTCTCTTAATTGCCTTTCTGCAGAGATCCTCCTGGAAGCCCGTACGAGATGCCCCGAACTGCCCCCAGCCGCCCCTATTGACGGGAGGAACCCCACAGAGGGTCCCTTAAGGCTGCCCGACGCTTGATCTGTAAATTTAGCGTGATCGTGTCATGGACCATTTATTCTAGAGGCAAAGGAGAATCAGTTGCCTGGAGGCTGCACTGAGCTGCTGCGGCGCGCGGCATCCCCGAATCGTGTAATTCATTTTGGAAGGGTATTTCCTTGATACTGTAACGATCAGAGAATGCCCTTATCTGGCTTTTGATGGCCTTTAATCTCAGGTGATTGGGGTATTTGTGCGTACACCCCGCAGGTGTGTTATGTACTTTCGTCATGCCAGGAGGCAAAACCACAGAATGGCTTTTCTTTGTTTATTGAAGATCTTTATAGTACATGCACCCTTTGGTATACTTGGTATTCCGATAAGGTTACGGGCCTTTAGTTTGCTTGTTCCTCCCGAGTCTAGACGCGTATTAGGGCGCATTGGAACTACCGCATAAATCGAATTCTGTTTCTCGTGTTACGACCGCATGTAATTCGTGGATTTTCCCCCCTCAATTCGACAGACTGTCTTGCCTTTAGGTAGTAACTACAGCACCTGGATGCAATACATCAACTCGCCAGCCGATACGGGAAGGGTTCTTGTGAACTCCCAGAGCAAACTCGAGTGGTAATTCTGAAAATGCATATTGTTCTCGGGGCATGTTAAAGCCAGTGCATGGAAAAACAACGTCGTGCCCACCTATAGGCGCGCCCTTAACTCCCTCAGAGTTGCCCGTCTCCACATAATTGTGCCGCTGGATCCCGAGCGGCGGTTAGTTCTGGCCAGCGTGAGTAGCACGACGAGGTGCCTTGCAGCAGAGCCCCTTCCATCTATCCCCATTCCTCAGACTTTTGCTAAGACTAGGGGACAGCCGCCCCGCCTCCACGCCTGCAGTGTTGTTTTATCTGATGGATAAAACTACTTGGTTTCGCGTCATAGCCTCTTCACCTCATTAAACACAGAAACAAAGAATTTCTGAGTTTCCTCTCTCCACTTTGACGCGATGCCGGCTAAATCCGAATACGGAATGTTTTGTGGCGGCGCCCCAAATGCACTTCGGGCGTAGAAACAGGACATATCGCAGGTAGAGGGCGAAAAGACAACGCCGATCCACCGTGACAAAGAAGCACAATCCTGTAACCGTGGCCTTTGTCTGCTAAGATCCCATGTAGCGAACACCGAGGGTGGGCGCCCTTAACGTGAAAGCGCGTTCGTCTGCTTTTCCCTTGCGCGGTGCAGCTACACTCTAAAACCCTGCCTGGATTAGGAGCAAAGGAAAAGGGAATCGACGGTGATAACCCGCGCGAGCCCCTTTCCTTTTCCTGGGGAACAGAAAGGCAGAACCAAAACCTCTGTCCTTATGCGGGTCACAAAACGGCTCTTGTCTTTCTATCCCCGCGGCTGCACCTTGCAGTCTTTCAAACCCAACATAAAAATGCCGGTGAAGGCCATAGGCCAATGCCAACGCTAAAAGAATGCAGAAGAGAGAAGCGCCAAGGAAGAGAACGGTTTGAGGTGCCAGAGGCGAGTGAACGAGAAATGAATGGTAGTCCAGAAGAAACTGCTGCCTCAGCGGCTTCAGCCTTTTCGCCGTGTCGAGTTTAGGGCACTAGCAAGTAAAACACGCTTACACAGCCCTCGAAGCCTGCAGAGCTCAGTTCCCTGTGGCCCTTAACCCCAAGTGTCAGGCCGTAGCCTGATCCCTGAGCCTCTCATCCATGCGGGCGGCTTGGCTCAGAGCTGAATGCAAGCTGGATGTAGCTGTTGAAACCTCCATCAGCGAAGATGAACATGTGGTCCAAGTTTTTGAACGTCTTTACCTCGAAAGTAGAACTCCATCCCGCGCAGACGGAGAGAGAACGTAGAGGCACAGTGTCGTCGCCAACGTCCAAAACCCTGTAGAAGGGCACCAGCAAAGCAGCAGGAAAAATGCGAAATAACGTGAGCCAGTGACACGCGCAAGGTGCGCACACAGAGGGACACCAGAATGACACCACAGAGACGAACGCACAACTTAGCATAGCAGAGAAGTGCGTGTCGAAAAGGGAAAGAGGAGGAGTATGGCAATGTCAAGAATAATATCTACAGGACAACACAGAACCGTAGAAAAAAATTACCGAGTGTGACAGAGGGAAGAAACGCCGTTGGCAAACGGAGGTTCTTGAGGGGCGTTCGTTTTCCCTCTGTTGTAGCACCCGTGGATCTGCACAACAGTTTCTATTATGCTTACGGGACAGGCTTGCGACTGAGATCATTTCCAGTATAAATGTAACTGATGTCAGTTGAGGGGAAGGCAAAGACGCTCCAAATACAACGCGTGGGGACCTGCACCAACCGATGCGAGCAAAGACAGTGGTACCTGATTCGCAGTAGCAACTCGCTCGCTTCATGCAGAGAAAGGCATCTCTATCGGAGCAGCAAGAGCGCGAGATCCGCATGCAAAGCGGCGAAGCGGGGGAATCCTCCCAGCTTGGGGTAGGCAAAAAGTGTACCTGGCAACAGCTAAGAAGCACAGCAGCCAACCCTCACGAGTCAGCAAGGGGTTTTCCTAAGCTAAAATGACACTCACCCCAGGGTCCTGAAGCACCCCTTCCATGTGCTGCAACGCAGCATTTGCTCGAGTCCTGAGCTCCGGATCCAACAGGACTGTCCAGTTACCAAGCGTATACACGATTTCTTCGACGTCGGCTGCCCCCGCCAGCCCCTTAAGGACATCCACTTTCCTCTGGGATTCCGACGCATGCCGCTCCAGTTGCCTCAGGTGTTGCTGTATCATCTTCTCTGTCTCCTGTTGCACCCGCTGTTCCCTCACTGTCTCCCGCTGGGCAGCAGTAACAGAATCGGCCTCCTCCTCGTCCTCCGCGGTCGGTTGCCTCTCCAAACGACGGAGTTCAAGATTTCGAAAAGCCCCAGGTGCTGCAGCGGGGGACGGCTTCTCTTCTGCAGCTCCCGAGAGCGCGACAGACAGGGGTGCTCCTCCACCTTTCGACAATAGCTGTCGTATCACGACGTGGTCCTTCCCATAAAGCTGCAGCAACACAGTTACCCCAATAAAACAGGCGTAGGCATGGCAGCCCTTCGGTGTGTGTGGTCCCATCATATGTTTCTTCCTGCGTACAGAAGCTGTTGCGTCCTGAAGGGACCGAAGGCTCCATGCAGCAAGCTGACTCCAGGACGGCCTCTAGCGCTCCTCTCAGTGCGCAGCTCACGTTGATATCAGGCAGCAGAGTGTATATAGAGCCGAAGCTACGCGCGAGCTCCCTCAGTATCCCTGTAGGGATAAGCGAGATGTCCAAGAAGTTCCAGAATGTAAGATCCACCGGATCGTTGTAGCTGCAAGCACGCGCGGCACACAGGCATCACAAAAGACACCAAACAGGGGCTGCTATTGGATCGGTCAAGTTCATCCATATCTGCCACCTTCCATCTAGGTAAGTATCCACGGGTCTAAACCCCTCTCCCTTCGTCCTTTCCATTTGGATAGCAGAGTCCGCCACTACGAAGCCGATCAGTCGGCGACCCCTCCCTGCTCGCTGCCTGCTCCAATCGGTTCATGTGTGCAGGCCCATCTTCTTGCCCTTCTCAGCAGCCACAGATGTCACTAGGGCTCTATCTCCTCTCTGTCTGCCCCCCTTCTGAAGCTGTGCGAAGCTCCCAAGTCCGTTATGTGTCCTCTTCGTGTTCTGGCGAGTCTAGCAGAACCCTCAGCACCTAGGATTTCTCCCCGTAGCAGGCAACCGCGAAAGGAGGAACCGGGTACGCCGTCTAACCTCTCTAGCTGCTTGCTCGTATACGTATGCGTGCCTACCCAGTGAGAATGGCCTTAATGGCCTTGAAGCTGCCCCCCGTTGCAGGAGCCACAAGTGTGTATGAATTGATGTATTTGTTCTTCCACTCCTGAGTCACCACTTTGTTCAAGAAATAGTTGCAAACCAAAGACCCCAGACTGTGGACCAGCAGGTCGGCCTTCGCACCGCCCATCGCCTCCACATGCGTCTCAATTTCCTTCTTCAAACGCCTAAAATCCATCTACACCCAATTAAGGAGCCAACACACACAGCCCCGAAAAATTACATGCACCATCAAAGACAGTTTCTGCAGAGCAGTTCTGCCTTCTACAAGCCTCCAACAAGGAGCTTTCTGAGGCCGGTGGTTTCTACGGAAGAGGCAGCGCCTATGCTTCCTCAGACACGTGCAACGTGTGCTTGGGGAGAAAAATACACCGCACACTTGCTGCCGGCTCACCATTTCTGTGTACATTTACGCGGGAGATTGTGAGTCTCCGCTCACCTGCCAGGGCGGAAATCTCCAGTCATACGGAATGCCAACAAGAGACTGACCTTCCTGGTAGCCGTTTGCATACAAAGTCCGTAGCGTCTCGTGGAAGTAGGCAGTGCCAGGAACCCCAAATCTCTCATTGTAATAATAGTCCAAATAGTCAAACCCGTGGGCTCCCCCAAATGAATCTACCTATGGAGAGGACAGCCATTACCAACAGCATGACGCTCTCCATCTGCTGCTTTCTCTGCCTCCTGCTGATACGCTGCTCGCTCTACTGTTTTACCCCTTTCTCTGAGGCATTCCCCCCAAACCTTCTTCTATATCTGTCCGACCACCTGCTCCCCCGCGCCTCCCTTTCTGCCTTTCTATGGGTGTATCTTTCGATTTCCCCTCGCGTTATTGCCTCACCTCTACAACAAGTCCTTCCTTGCTCTCGTACTTCTCGCCCGTGGCGTCCACATTTAGTTGCATCATGTCCAGCCAGCAGAGCTGGTGGGACTGTGGGGGCCTCACCAGAGAGATAGAGGCCCACAATCTGAAGGGCACAGGGTAATCTACTGGCGACGGGCTGCAAAAGGGCAGTGACGCGCCTTGAGCGCTAGCCATCAAGCCGCTACCCGCAATTCCTGGCACAATAAAGACTGGATGTGCAGGAGGAGAGGCTGTAACGCCTGCTCTCCCCTCTCTCCTGTCACGTATATCATCCTCTTCCTTACTCGAGTGGATGCGGACACCCAGCACACCTGCTAAAGCTTCTGCTGGAGATGCTGCTACAGCCAGTGGTCCTGCTGCAGCCGGTGGTCCTGCTGCAGCTGGTGCTGCAACTGCAGCAGAAGTTGCTCCTGTCTCTCTTACTGGGTTCACACATTCAGCCCTCACGCAATTTTTCACAGGGTTAGTCGTCTCATGACCAAAAACACCCAGCCCAAGAGAAAAGTAAAAGACCACTGGCAGCAAGAGCAGAACAGGAACTGGAGGGAAGCTACAGCTCGAGTGTGGAACAATCAACAGAAGCCTGCGTTGTATGACTACCATGATGATCTGAATTTTTGGACTGCAAGAGGGCTGCTTCGTATATTATGTCGTCCATCGGCAAGCTGCTGGCCAGAAGCCAGAGTAGTTGGACCGACGGGGGGAAACGACACGCACACCACCACATGCAGGAAACAAAAACCGCAATGAAGCTGTGAGGTAATTCATGGCTATCAACAGGCAGTATGGCTTCTCTCACTTTACTCAGATACCTAACACAACCGCACCGACGAGGGGGCCCCCAACTGGGCACTGGTCTGGTGAAGTTTACGCCCGACCAATGCGGTCTTGGCGAAATTTCTTTGGAAGTGTGTGCAGAGAAACAAAAGCACCCTCACTGACTCATTTCATGATAATTTCCAGGTCCCTCTGCTGCAGCTCCTTCTTGAAACGCGCAAACACCGTAGCAGCAACGAAAGACCTCGGCAACAACCCCGCTCTTCTTCTTGTCGCCATTAAAGGGTTTCATGCTCCCCATGGAAATAAACAGCGTAGTTTTCGCTTTTAGTTAACCCCATAGGTGTGAATAAGGGATGAAAACGCCCTACAGAACCAAAAGGCTTGGCCACTAGCCGTGGTTCCCATATGCTTCCTTTCTCATGCTCTGTCGTTTCCCTTCTACGCCGCACATTGTTCTCTCTGTTTTATTAATCCTTGTATCTTCATGCATCTAGCTGTCTTTCTGTCTCTGGTGACTTTCCTGTGCTGCTCGCTGCTCGTATTCTCCCCTCCGTCATCCTGCATAAACCCTTCCGCTTCTTCTATTACTTCTCACCTACGCTTGTGTACTCGCCTTCGTGTCAGCTTATCGCTTTCTCAGCCTGCGTGCCGTTTCAGCCACTTTCGCCTCCTGCTCGTTTGCCCCTCTACTCCTGCCCACTCTTCTGTCCGTTGCAACTGGGCGCCACAGGATGCCACAAAAGAAGGGCCAGTTCTACGCTGTAGAAAACGTCTTGGCCTGCAAGTAGGTTCAAGGGAAGTTTTATTACTGCATTCGCTGGAGCGGATACGGTGCTTCCGACGACACATGGGAGGTGAAAGAGTGCTTCAGTGCAGGGTCACTTTCGCACTTCACGCCCAGGCTAAATGCTTTAGAGCAGCTATGGCTCAATTCAGAGGCACCAAGCAGGGCTCGAAAAAAAACAGATAGGAGAACAGCCGCAGTTCATAAGGCCAGTACGCAGAGATCGACTAAGTCAAAGAACGGAAGAAAGGCAGCGGCGCCTGCGTCCCTCAGGAAAGCTGCACCAACACCCGTTGGCAAGAAGAAACGGAAAACCGGCACCAGCAAGAAAAAAAGTGCCACACGGCGATGATAGGTGAGCACGGCGAAGATGTAGAGGCATTTAGACAAACAGGAAGACGGAGTAACAAGGAGGAAGTACAGAGGCTCAATAAATCGGGGGAATGCAGGGGCAGAAGCAAGCGGCGCCATGTGAAGGAACGGACAGTGGGGACCTTTTGTTTCTTTTTCTCCCTTTTTCTACGGCTGAATCCCGGAAAGCATTTAGGCACCAGACACTCTGTCCGTTTTGTGTTGCTGCGCCTGTAGCGCTCTCGATGCTCCACGTTGTGTTTCTTCTCATGAGGGTGGTTTGTCGCCTCCCCGTAGATGCAGAAGGGAGCAGAGCTAAGTGAGCTTTGGACATTTTGATGTCTCGACTTGTTTGCTCTTGTGGAAATCGAGGGATCTTCAGGGCGCCCCCGGTACAGCTTTGCCTGGGGGCCTCGCAACGAGAGGGAAATCTGCACTGCATTGATTCCAAAACAATGCAGTTTTGATCTAGGGTTTATCAGCATCTTGGATACAAAGAAAGAATTTCCGCTGATATCCCTTGCCATCGAAGCCATGGGACATCATGGGAAGTGTGAGGCAGGCGTAGCCCAGTAAAAAGACGGATAGGTGCGGCTTTCTTACAGACTAGTGCTGGAGGCCACAGATAAAAAGCATCGAATGGGAGTGTAGCAAGTATTAACGAAATTGGGTGAAGGACAATGGGTTCGGTGGAAGCAGTTCGGAGGAAAGAAACCCTGCAGACGTAGTTTGGACGAAAGGCAGGGAACGAGCTGCGCGCTTTATTGGGGCATACCCGCCCACTTAGTGCTTATCAAGCCCCAATGCTTGGGAAGATACGAAATGACCGTATACGGATGTACGTATCCCCAAGAACCGGAGGAAAGCCAAACCCACACACGAGGGTCCAGTCAAATGCGGAATATGAAGGAGTAGTCGTATAGCTCCTCAGGTCCTTGGAAGACGCGCACCCTGGGAAAAGATATAGGGGTGAGGACACACTTACAAGCTTGCTATCACACTTGTTACATTCAATATAAAAGTAGTGAAGAATTGGTTGCTTGATGGTTCTGTTCGTCTTCCTTATTTGCTGCAGGGGACTGTTACCTCGGTTGACTAAGGATGCAGCGGAGTGTGCGTTTAAGCTAAATATTGTGTGCGCAACTAGCTGTGAACTCTCCGGGTGCTTAGAGGCTGCAGACAAGCGAACCCTTGCCGGTCCTATCTTGAGCGTTTATTGGGTATGGAGTTAAAGGGTACTGGCCGACGGATGCCTTAGATGGAGGGCTGCAGTCGTAGCATCGCATTGTTCGATGTAGCTGTCTACTGCCTGTCCATTGGCTTTGGATGCAGCGAAATGTCAGTGTTCCCCAAAGCAGTTATACTGCTTTGCTCAAGCTCTATGTTACTTTAACGATTCCAATTTCGTTGGCAACGGTTTGGAAAACACTCTTTCCGGCATTGGGAGTTGAGGTCGCACAACGCTTGTAGGGGGGGCATGGGCCAGCTTGCAGGGTGATGTGAACTGTACAGCTCCACACCCGGTTGATAGAATTAGTTTTTGGCTGTTGAATGGTTTGTGGGTGCGTCGATGAGACTAAGCCGACCGGGAAAGCATGACGATCGTGAGGATAGGTACGTATTTGAAGATTTTTCTTAGCGTGATAGGATATGCTTGCTGGAGGCAGGACCACTCTATGGTTATTTTCCATTAGAGAAAGTCGATAGCCTGCAGGGATTGCTGTAAGCTAGGCCTTTAGAGACGCCATGGCTAAATGATCTCTGCCTGCGTCAGCGGGACAGCAAGCTTTGGTACATTCACGGAATCTAAAGTAGTAAGAATTTAAGTAGATAGGAACAATTGGAAAAAAAGTTTTGCTCAGCAAAAGTCACAGCCCAAGTGAACAGCTGCTTTTTCAGCGGCACATTTAACGTATACCCGATTTCAGTAAAGGCGTAGCAGGCTGGGAAGCGACTCAGTCATCTATCGACTGGGCGAAGAGCCTTCAACATGTGACGGACTGCTTGAGGCTTCTGGAGCAACTAAATACACTTCATGCATCTAAGAAAAAGCCAATTCGGGGCTTAGAACAAAGATTATTTATCTGTGCATTATCGATTCGCCCTAGCCCACAGTTTGGGGTTAGCAAGAAAGGAAAACCAAGGAAAACCCGCTCTTCGAAGCAGCCCCAGACCGCCCCCGAGCAACGCACATGCTTCTACTGTGGGAAACTGGGTAACGTAATCCAATACTAAAAGCGCATGCAAACAGCTAAATAGCCCGAGCAGCGCAGAATCAAGCTGCTTGGCGAGCAAAGAAAGCGCATACGGGAAACGGAAACATCCACACGCAAGTGTCGGTAAATAGAAGTTGATTACAGAGAATAGAGTTGCAGTTGGGAGTCCACATAGGGCGATTCTTTGCTTATTCAAGTTCACAGTGACGGCCAAGAATTGTTAGCGTCACTCGACATCGGATGTGAAGCGAATCTGTTACCCGAGAAGACGTAGCAGTCTTGCAATTTGCCTGAGTAATAGTCAGCCCAGTCCCGACGACTCAACCTGCTAACGGGTAGCAAAAATGCGACTATTGGAATACGATATTCCAGTGCCAATACAAGCCAGAATTGGGCTTTATAAGCTTGGTCCGTGACTTCTGGTTTGGGCCAACGCACCACAATCAAACCCGAGGCATGCCGTGGATGACCAAACAGAAGGCACTCATGAGGCCAAAGCGACGCATTGTGGAAGTTGGTGTCCCATGAAACGCTAGGGAGAGGCAGCTCCCTCTCTGTATAGCAGCCCGTATTTCATCTAGAGTGCCTCAGCAATGTGAGGCAGAGTCTCCATGCGGGTGACTCAGCAGGACAGTAAGACCAGACAGTGCCGAGGAAGCACCCTGTCTAGATGGCACAGCAACTGATTCCTTATTCAAAATTCAATAGAACTCCAGGCTTCTTACAACAGGGATGGGCAAATATCAAGAAGGAGTGAGGGAAAGTGCTATATACTGGCGAGCTGCCAGCAGACTGACCACCTGCTGGCCTTCCAGAGCACCTGTTGAGTTGGTCCACAGGTCAGCCCCAAGCTGCGTCCCGCAGAATTGAAAGCTCTCGCTTCATGAAAAGGAGGATAAGAATCAGGAGTATGATTCGTTTGAGACATTAGGGTGTACGAAGTGGCCAGTGCTTGTGAGCTAATCCAGTGTTTGTGCCGAAAAAGGACGGAAAAGGACTCATGTGCGTCGACTTCAAGCCCGTGAGCATTATCACTGTAGGGATAAGACTTTGGTCCCTTGCACTCATGAACTAGTTGACAAAACGCTTGGCTCAACACTCTTCTTGACATGTGACTCCACAGTAACTTTTAAATCCCTATTCACCGTGGTGGAGGGCACAAAACGGCGTTCCATGCTTGGAATAGAAAACTCAAGTACAGCTCCCTTCCATTCAAACTTGTTAATGGTACAGCTTAGCCACAACGGAGAGAGTTGACCGGGATTTATGCGGGTTCATCAAGGACACCTGTGGGGGGTGCGGGGGCAAGCAGTGGTATGAGAAGGCACGCAGACCTTCGGTTTACAGCATACCAATTGCTTTCGCGAATCCATAACTCCGTTGCAGGAACTGAGCCAAATCCCGAAAAATTTTAAGGGCAATCAAGGGAAGGTTTCGAACTTTGTGCACACGCAAGGACATTTGTGAAGTTCCGTGAGCTTGCATCTACTTGCCAATTGGCATTCATGGCTTTCCTTGAGCAGCTGCCCATCTAAATCATTTTCAGAAAACTAGTTCCTTGACCTGGATAGGAGAGGCAGATGTCTCAGCAAGAACATTTATCGGCTACATTCAAGCGCCTCCCGTACCAGCGCTGCCTTACTACACATTTTATTGCTCTCCAACGAACGATGGTAGTGACATAGCAGTGGGTTTTGATCTCTTCAAACACACTACGAGTATCTCAGAACACCAATTCTTGCTTGCTATTCTCATAAGCTTACCGAAACCGAGCAACAGTATACAGTAGAGGGAAAAGAGCTTTATACGGTGTGGCAGGTTGTGGACGAACGCCAGCATCACTTGAACAAGCATCATTTCACTATCCAGCCAGTAAAATTTAGGGTACTTCCCAAGAGTCATCAGGAACTTGGTGATGCCTGTAGTGCGCTTTACTTCAAAGTATTGCAGGAGCCACCCAAGCCAAAGAACAACTCTTGGATTATAAGCTCATCGTCGAGCTAGCACAAAGCCCTAACGATTTATGATTATTCAATGCACACTCTCTTGCTCGTGATAGTTCATGATTTCTGCCGAAGCTGCATTTAATGTATCTTTTGTCACTCATGCAACTACCGCCAACATCCAGAGTGCCAAGAATGCCAAGCACAAGCGAGTTCAGGATGGCCTGTTGTGCTCCAGAATGATTCGGGGACCCCGTCACTCATACGTCCAGAATTCATTCCACAGTACCGTTTTACACAAAGCAGACCATTCTGTTTCCAAGCTATGATGGTATTCACACAGCACAATGCAAAAACTCTTACGGCGTTGCTGGTGGCGTGGGTTGGGACCTGCGGTGGAGGAGTGTGTACTGGTTATCGACGCCATAGGCAAGTATGTCCATCCAATCTCTTGTATGAGCCCTCTACATCTTAAGAAGTAGCTCAATTATTCTTATACCATGTATGAAAGCTTTTTTAGATTCCAGCAAGGATCTGAAGCATGCTAGTGCGTTCTGGCGTGCCTCCATGACATCCCTCCAGATTGACCATAATACAACCACTGTGAATCACTTTAAGGCGAATGGACGAACCGAGCACACCAACAGCACCAATCTGCAATATGTACTACTCTGTGGATATTTAATCACGTTCAGTCGGCTTGATTTATTCCGTGTGCTGATTTGGTTCGTATTACGATAGTGCCCTCGTCTACCCGTTGTTCTCCGGCATGCCTATTCTTCATTATGGGCCTCTATCCGATCCGGGCCTGAACCTGGTGGCCGCGGGGTAGCAGTCACACGTAGCAGCCGATAGATTTGGGAAATAGCTGGTCGGTCCAGGCGGATTTGTGTGCAAAGCTCAACGGAGACTGGCATGGAGTTATGTCAGACGCCGGACGGCAGTGTGTTGCGAGCTTGTAGATTTGGTCCTGGTGAACTGGCAAGCTTTGCATGACGAATTGAAAGGTATATGATTAAGCTTGACGCCGCGTGGCTAGAAACATTCGCCATCTTTTAAAGAATGAGTGCTCTTTGTTTCTGTGTCGATTTCCTTTACAGTTGGACTTGCCACAGAGCTATAACAATTCGTCTTTTCACGGAGCTTCAAATCAAATGATAAAAGATTTGTTTCGTGCTTCTGAGGCTGCTGTAGGAGGTTTGCTTAACTTGTGTGCCTTTTGATATCCTGCACATTTTTTATTTGTCGGTTGCCTTCTCATAACAGCAAGCTCAAATAGTTCAGCGCTCCGAGTTACAGCAATCCACAGCACTACCGCAATCATGTTAATTTAGTACCACGTCTACTATTGGCTAGTGTGTTTTTCTCCTTCCTATGTGTTTCACCTGACTAGTTGATGCATACACTTACACTCTTTCCACGTTTCTGCCTGCCTGGGGAGTGGCAATAGGACGAGAAGCCTCCCGTTGTCCCTTGTGAACTTTGTCGCAACAAAGCGGACAGAAGTCTGTGTAATGTTATCCACAGCCTTGTGGGGTACCAAGTACCAGTACTTTGAAGCACTAACTGGGGTAAAAACCAATATGCCAGGCTTTGCTCTGGTCGTGAAGGATTGGCTGTATGTAGCAGGCTCAGCTACATTTCCACACTTTATACTGCACTGATTATATTCAATCAAGAACTACTAAATAACTCGCCGATTGGTTTGTCAGTTTATATACCTTATTTCTAGCGGAAGACTGGTAGAACGATACATGAGGACGCACTGTAGTGTGGCTTTGGGCTGAATGCTGCGTGTACGTAGTTGTGAACACTTGGAGTGCTTTAAAACGAGCTGCTAGGCGCACCCTAGGTGCTCCACTCTCCTCATGTGGGGACCTTGGGACTTAGGTGAGGAAGGTAGGAGCTCGATTAAAAGCACTCGATAACATACATTTGACTTGGTTTTGGGCATGGAGCTGAGTGTCTCCCGTGGCAGCCTCTGATGGAGCATCACAAAAGGGACGTTGTAAGTCCCATGACTCTGTTAGCTGCAAAAAAGTTGATAGGGGGATCTGCTCCGGAGGTCTGCCTTCCAGTGTTACGGCAACGTAGGAGATTCGGCACTGTAATACTTCCAGAAGCGCATATCGGCGCACCGGTGGGCACAAGCACACGAGAGATGACAACACCAACGCAGCATGAAGATGGAACTTATGAAGGGGAATAGGAATAACGCGGAGGCTGATATGGCTAGCTGGGTGAGCACAGAAAATGACTTGGAGCCTAACAGGAGTAGGGGGGATCAGCGAACCACTGAGAACGCGGGACAGGAGAGCATAGAAGTAGATGAAACCATACGGAAGCGATAAGGAGGGAGTTTATGAGAGGAGGGGGAAGAACCTTCCATTGTGGTTATATTACTTCAACATCTAGGCAATTGCAGTCCAGCCTAGAGAGCCCAAAGCAGTTTGTCTTTGTGTGCTGTTGCCCAAATTCCTCAAACTACTATCGTTCCGCTTGCATTTTCCTTGCAAGGCGGAAACCTTACCAAGCAACACAGATCCTTTATCTGGGTGCTGTGCAGCACTGGTCTAGCCGTGGAGGAGGCGAGTGAGGGTAAAGGTGCTCTACGGTGCCCTGGGAGCTTCAAGAAACATGGGATTTGCGTGAATCGCAAAACTGAAGTATTGAAAGCAGAGAAGATAATGAGTAGAAAGATGATCAGTATATCCGTGTGGTGTAGTGGCACCCCAATGGTCGGGCCCGAGCTTACGGGGTGGACGGGTGTTGAGGTTGTGCGCGGGTAAAACGCTGTTTTAATTCTTTTACCTCCTCTTCCTCTGCCAACTCAGGGCGTTCCCCCCCCCTAAATGATGGGATATGCTCCTTTCTTACGACGTTACCTGGGGCATCTTAGCTGGGGGGTGGTCTGCAACTACGTGATATATGTGTGCTCCGAGTCTGTGGGATCTCATCTCTCCCGTTCTAATCCTCTTGTTCCACCTATTTTGTACTTCTAATCCTTTTCAGGCTCCTTCTTCTTTCGCGGTCAGTGATATCCCTCGGGCACAACCCTTCCTTCCCGTTGTCTCTCCGATTTATCTCCTCCCTTGAACGTGTTTCCGACCCTTCGCCCAGCTGACTTCTTGCATGGCACCCCCTCGGCTCTGCGCCGTTCATACCCCCCGCTGCTTCACGTCTCTCCGTGCCCCCCTCTTTTCGCAAGCCGCAGCACATGGCAACGTTCGTTGAAGGCGAGGACTCTCGGTATCCCGTTGAAGACATTACGGCCGTGAAGCGGGTCTTTGGGAAGTTTTATTTTAGAGTCAAATGGAAGGACTATGACAGCTCCTCGGACGACACATGGGAGCCAATCGAATCCTTTCAGCGTTCGACAAACTTCGAGTTCAAGGACAGAATAGAGAGCCTTAAAAGATGGTACTGGGAGAGTGGGCAAGCAGACAAGGAGCGCTTAGAAAGGCAGCTCCTCAAGCAGCAGCAGCAGCAACAGAAGCAACAGCGCAGGCAGAATAAGCAGCAGAGACGAGTTCCAGTCGTGCAACGCAAGCAGCCACAGCAACCAAAGAAGGATTTGCAACAGCCGCCCAAGCAGGAATCAAAGCAGCATCAAACACGCAGGAGGGGAAACAAGTCGCAGAAACCACAGACAAAGGCACCTCAATTACGCCCGCGTGAACATGGTGTGCCTCTCCCGGCGCTCGTGAATGGTAGATCTGACGGAGGAAGGAGAGCGGCCCCCAAGGGCCCACAGGAACCCTTGAAACCTCTTGAAGACCTTCCTGAAGACAGAAATGAGGGCATGCTGCACAAGGCAGTGGGAATTGGTTACAGAGGCTGGGAAAGCAGGTGCAGTAAGCAGGCAGGAAGTCCTCTCTCGAGCGCCGGGAACCCTTCTTCTCTTCTCTCGTCCCCCTTTTCCTCCGCTGGTTCCTCCTCAGAATCTGACTCGAGTTACTGCGAGGAAGGCGATCGCAAAGGGAGGCAAAAGCAGGAGCTTCAGAATAAGCACCAGGGCAGGAGCAGAGTGGTGGGGGGCCTCAGGCGGAGTAGCAAGAAGCAAAGGCAGGGCTTCCCTCCGCCGGAAACAGCCCCAATAGAGCCGTACCTACCCCGGTTGGTCGAGCAGAGAGATTTGTTGAGGCTTCAGGAGAGGCAGAAGCAGACTGGAGGGAAACTAGGCTGGCATCGGGCTGTTTCGGAACCGTGCCCGCGGTCGGTCAGCCTCTCTCCGTCCAGTTCTGAGGCAGATGGGAGGAAGCAAAGACGCAGGCAAAGAGATCTTCAAAAGAAGCAGCAGCAGCAGCAAGTGGAAGCGAAGGATTCGGGGGCAGTAAAGCTTGAAAGGAGAAGAGGGCCGCCCCGCCGCTGTCGTAGGGGGCTATCTATGGGATATGGGAGAAGCCACCCCATTGAAATTTGCAGTTTTAGTGAGCGCAGCAGGAGCAGAAGCGTCGAGAGAAGTGTCGGTGCCGCAGCGGCACCAACAAAAGGCGCCAACTCCAGTCCGCTGCAGAGTTGGCTAGAGAGAGAGGAGGAAGCTCCAGATCTTCGTCCAGCAGAACTAGGGAATAGAGGAAATGCTTACTTAGAATTTAGGGGGCACTGGGATCCGGTGGCGAGAGCAAAACATCGCTGCCGCGAGCTTAGGCAACTGCAGCAGCAGTTGCAGCAAAGGCGGCACACCATTCCGCGAAACCGGGTGCCCTTGCTACAGCACCGCGAGCGTGCTGCACTCGCAGAGCAACGCAAGAAAAGGCCCCTGGAAGGTCTTCAGACGGCGGAAGCCGTAGAGATAGTTGGCTTGGTGGTGGGGGCTGGTGATGCAGGAGAGGTAGAAGTCAGGCACCAGTGCACTGAAGGTTGCTACTGCCGATCTGGATACGAGTAACTAGTCGGTGACTGCGGAACAACTTTTGCATGCACGCAGCGCTTCCCAGCATCAGCCCTCCGCGGGGCACTTTTGTTCGGTGCCTCTTGAATTGGCCGCGCGAGCCCTACATGCTGAGCTCCCAAGTAATAAACGCACGTTGGTCACCTTTGAAGCCCTCGCAAGTGGAGAGAGGGTGTGTAGGGTTAACCCTACAGTAACGCAGTTTCGTGTCGTCAGGTGCAACGCCTTATGGAAGGGCAGCAGCGACGCACCGGCTCCCGGGAGGAGGCGTCCTCGCCTGGCAAGCATATTGGGTATACCAGTGCGGATTCGGCATAGATTTATGTGGGGTCTGCGGCTGCTCAAGCATTTTGCCGCACCCGAGGAGTTCCCATCTGTAAACCGTCCACTCCCTTTATTAGCGTCTTTTGCAGGGGGTGGTGTGGAGAGAAGAACCAAGTTCTGTGTGTAGGTGCTCTCCCGTCTGCACATGCTTCTCGTGGATGCGCGAAGGTTGAAAAAGAGCAACACACCGCTTGCGACTAGGGACTTAGATAGTGGCGGCTCGCGAACTGCCTTCATCCAGCCTCGCAGAGCCTTGCATCGTAATTTAAAGATGTACATTTATATATATATATGTCCATATTATACTAAATGCGCCTGCGGAGGTACGCATTTACGTACTACGGTCCTCATCAGGCAAAGCCAAGGCACATCATGTGGATTATAGGATGTCGGCTCTTTTTTTTTCCCCTCAATGGTCGCGGGTTTGACAAACACCCAAAGCTAAGGCAGTCATCTGCTTGTCCTTGCAAACGCATGCAATGGCCAGCGAGACATTTCTGTGGCTGCGGGTGTTGGGTGGTTGGCGGGGAGGTCAACGGACCCTCAGGTACCGGTGTCCTTGTAAGCCTCCAACTGCTTCAAGTATTTGCGATTAGCGACAAGCGTTTTGAATGCACACAGTCTTTTATTCCCCCGTACTGAGCTGCTTTACATGCGACGACTTCGCCGAGCCGCCGAGCGGGGCCTCATTGAGCAGCTAAACAGAGGACTTATTAAGCAGCTTTTTGTAGTGAAGCTGGATCCAGCCTGCTGTGTTCGCGGGCCCCAAAGCCAGTGCCCCTCTCGCGTTGTCGTGGTATACAGAGAGCCACAGTGGCTATCAAGTGCAAGAGCAGGCAGCGCTTCCGAAGAGGTAGGATGGAGGGACCTCACCGAGACACTGACGTCGGGGAGCCTCTAGAGTAGACAGAAGCTTGAGACGACTCCGCGGGGCAAGCAGAACAGAGGACTTCTTCTTTTCACTGAATTGCCTTCCAGAAGGTTCTGTTTAACAGCGGAACCGCAGCAACTGCTTTGCCATTGCGGGGGCATGCGGACTAAGGGCCTCGGCCCCACAGCTCTCACCATGTAGGGGTCTTCGGCTAAAACAGCGACCATCGCTGGATAGGGGATAAAACGACGAATCAATGCATATATTCTGCTAAATTTGTTTTTTGTTTCGTTAGGGCTGTTGTTGCAGCAGCGGCAGAGTGCCCCTGCGATCCACCCCACGTGCCCTCGTGCCCCTGCCCGCGGATTCCACGGCGCGTTTTTTCCACTGATTCCCCTCCTTGGTAGGCTTTGAAGCAGTTGCGAGACACTCTCCACATCAGCAAGAGTAACAGGCGGAGGTGGAGGGGTAGCATCCCCTGGGATGCAGCACCAGCTGGACCACAAGCTCCAGAAGAAGTGGCTAGAGCATCATCAGCACTGCATACAGCAGTGCACACAGGACTCGTGCGCAACAGGTGGACTCACAGCAGCAGCAACAGAAGCAACAACAACGGCAGATGGCAGGCGGAATGGGCGCCCGACGTGGCAGGCGAGCCAATACCGTTGGACCGCCTCGTGCGAAGAGGGCTGTGCCTACCGCTTCTGATGATGATGAGGAGGATGTACCCGAGGCTTTTTTCGACATAGCCGTGTCAGGCAGCAGTGGCGGCAGCAGCACTGACAGCGCGGACTCAGACGAAGAGAAGGGATGTAGGGAGCTCGTGGAGTCGCTGCAACGCCAGCATGACAAGCAGTTGCCCACCGGAATTTCGCCATTAACAGCGGCAGCGCGTAAATGCGATGAATCGGCTGAGGGGACGCTGCAGCTGCTTCGCGAAGAAGATTCGGAACAAACTCGTGAGCTACTGGTGGTGTGGCTGCATGCGCTTCGGGTGCGGTAGGAATCTGTCTTCATCCTTTACCTCTGTCCTGCATGCGCGTGCGTGTCGTTAATGCGACGGTTCTGCTTCAGAGTTTGGCTTTGAAGATCTTCTGGCCGCCGTAGAGGGCAGCACGCGGCATGGAGAGCTGCAGCAGCAGCTGTCTGCACTGTCTGCTCCTACGCGCCGCGCTGCTGCTGCTGTTGCTGCTGCTGCTGAAGCAGCAGCAACAGGCGACAGCGACGCAGCTGAAGCAGCAGCAGAGGCTGCTAAGCAGCTGCAGCTGGACTCGGGTGTGCTCCCAGAAAGGCTACCGATGCACAAGCAGCAGTTGCAGTTGAGGAAGCAGCAGTTCGACTTCGCACAGCGCGATGCATCCAAGTGGATTCCCTTGGTTCAGCAGCAGCGGCAGCGACAGCAGCAGCAGTTCGGATACACTGCAGCAGCTGCTGCTGCTGCCTCGACGCGGACCGTACAGCAGGCTGCAGCACTGATGAGGCCGCAGGGATTCGAACAAGCGCTGCTGGATGCAGTCAACAGCTGCAACACTGAGCAGCAGCAACTGCAGCAGGAGCAGGCACTGGCACCGGCTGATCCGATCAGAAGACGCGTGAGAATCGCTGGCTCTGCTTGCGACTCCGAGGGCCCTGTGAAGCGCCGTCGATACACTGCACGATGCACTTTCGTAATGCTCTTTTTCTGCGGTGTGGCCTAATCTGCTGCCGGCAACTGGTTTTTGCGAATTTTATTTATGTTTTCAGCAAGAGCAGCAGCAGGCCGCGCGCTTGCGATTTCTTCTCTCTCAAGAGCACCGACGCCTGCACCGCCTCAAGAGAATAAAGGCCAAAGAGGGCAGGAAGAAGCGGCGGCAGCTGGAGACGCGTCAGCAGCAGCAGCTGCTGGAGCGGCTGCAGCAGGAAAATCCGGAGCTTGCCCAGCAGCTGCAGCAGCAGCTGCAGCAGCAGCATGCGCAACAGCGTCTTTTGCGCCAACAAAACGCGAGAGCCAAGTGGGCTCGTATCGCTCAAAGATTCGGTGGCAGGGATATGCAGGCGGAGATCAGCAGGCAGCAACAAGTGCGCTTGAATCCCCCGAACAAACCGTGTTCTTTGTAGTGTGAAAGGCTGTAACTCTTTGCGGAGGCTATCCTTCTTGGGGGCAGCGGCAGGCCGTAGGAGGGATGAGCAGAGGCAGCTTGAGGAAACATCAGAGATTTTGATTGCTCAAAAGGAGAGTGTGCGTCTAACGGCTTCTGCATGCTGCTGCTGTTGCTGTGTTACAGCGCGGACTGGACGATAGGAGGGCCTTGGAAAAGGCTGCAAAGGGGCAGCAAGAAACCGACGGTATGTTTTGTTGGTCGAATGTTCGTGAATTCGGTATGCGAACGAACAAACACGCTGGCCCCTCACATAGGCGGATCGCCGATACTGCCGCTTCTGATGCGCTGCATTCTTTGTGCACTGCAGAAAGCGAGAGTGACGGCTCTGGAAGCGCTGAGGAGGACATAGAGGATGAGGCGAGAACCCCGAAGACTGCGGGGGAGAAGCTCGCTCTGCTGCGCTCTGCTGCTGCTGCTACTACTGCTACTCGTCGAGGCACAGGAGATGAGGATGCAGAGACACCTGAACTACCGAACAAAGGCCTGTTTGCCCTTCCCTTCTTGCGGAACGGCATAGAGAAGGCGAGGCAGGAAGCAGCGGCCCTCAAAGCCAAGATCGAGAGGCGCAGGCAACAGCGTGCAGCAGGCATCCCTAGCAGCAGCAGCAGCGGCAGCAGCAGCGGCGAAGAGGAGGAAGAGGACGCGAGCAGCGACTCTGGAAGCGGCGAGAGCGAAGGAGAAGGGTCTGATGAGGTTGGTGAGGGCATGGCCGCAGGCAGTAGCAGCAACCCTGCAGCAGCAGCAGCAAAGCTCCGTGCCGCTGCTGTGAGACGAGGAATGAAGAGAAGGAAAGAAGCAAGGGCAGGGGTAGCTGCTGCCTGTGCGACAGCGACTGCAATCCTCGAAGCTGACCAGCAGCAGCTAAAGGAGGCCGAGGCCTATGTTGCTTCGCTGCTTGACGGGGGTGGTGGTTTGGAAGCCTTAATGAACCCTACGGAGGCAGTAGCAGAGGTTAAAGGCCCTTGCCAGCAGCAGCAGCAGCAGCAGGAGGAGAAAGAGCAGCAGGAGGAGCAGCAGTTGCCGGTGCAGGGAGGGAAGCAAAATGGCGAGGAGGCGGAGAATGAAGGTCTACATGTGTCCTCAAAGGCAGCCATTGCGTTGCTCTCCCGCACTCTTGAGCAGCAGAAGGCAGAGCAGCAGGAGCAGCGGAAGAAGAAGAAGAAGCAGCAGCAGCGAGACTACGCGAAAGAGGCAGCTAACAAGCAGGCTGAGGCCGAAGCGCATCTCAAGAGGCAGAGGGAAGGGCACTGCGACACGAGTCCTTCCAACCCGTGGCTGCAGCAGCAGAAAAAAAGCAAAGGCGGCAGCAACGCAAAGGCAGCACCCGCCCCTGTTGCTGAGGGAAAGTCAGAACCCTTCAAGACACTTCAGGACGGTTTACAAGACTTCGTAGGTTTGGTGCCTGTGCTGCTGGGCATGATGGCGAAGGGGTCTCTGTTTTTGCGGGCGCCATGCTTCTGTTGTGATTGCCATGATGCCGCTCTCGCTGTGTTTGTTGCGGTTCGTAGTTGCAAAGCGTGGCAGATGACGCCGGTGCTCCAGACGAAGACGCAGATGCCACTGACCCCGCTTGCTCGGAGCGGAAGCTGGAAAAGCGGCAGCAGCGACAGCATCAACAACAACGCAGGGAGGATCAAGGCCTGCTGGTGCAGCAGGCATTTGTAGAAGGCGATGAGGAGGCAATGTTTCGGGCGGAGGCAGCAGAAGAGGCAGCTGAAGGGAAGGAAGAAGACTGTAAGGCGCATAATTGCAGCACACCCGGTATACAAAGAGAGAGAGTGGCATCGTGTCCGCTCACATCCCACAGACGCGCGTGCATGCGTTCCACTCCACCCCTTGGCTCTCCGCCTGTACGTGCTGGGAAGGGGCAAAAGGTACTTGCCGCGCTTTGATTGTGTGTCTGCGCAGCTTCCTTCCTACCCGGTTGGGGAACGTGGGCAGGAGCCGGTGCGAAGAAGCCACGCCGAAGGGCTACAGCTGGCGCTGCGGCTGCAGCCGTAGCTGCTCCTGCAGTTGGGAAAGCCTTAGTCGTTCTCAATACGAAAGACGATAAGAAGAGTAGCAAATATTTCGTTTCCCAAGTACGCCAGGCCCACAACGGAGCCTTGCAAACTGCGCTGTAGGCGCCACATGCAGAAGCACGCCCTCAGTTTGTTTTTCGGGCGTAGTTGAAGCTGTTTAAAGCTGAAAATGTGCATAAGCCTGAAAGACAGCAGCAGGTAGCACTGCGGTGGATTGCGTTTTCTCTGTACAGCTGCCCAAGTATGTTCAGCCGGAGGAGTATGCGGCGAAGATGCGGCAGGCTGTGGGCCCTGAATGGAATAGCGCAATGGCGCACAGGAGACTCATTGCTCCTAGGGTAAACGCGCGATGTCTAACCTTAGCGTGCTGGTTGTGTTGGGCTGTTGCCGGAGGTGCCTTCAGGCTCTCGTTGCCACCCTCGAGTGGGGTATTGGGGGGCGCTGGGCTGACTCGTCGATTGTGTGCCTTTTTTTCCCGAGTTTCCATCCGATTTCGCAAACCAAAGCAGCCGTCCAGTCTCTTCTATTCCGCTGTCTGATTTTACGCGCTTTTTGTGCCCTCTTACGTGGAGGCGCTGCTGCCGGCAGACGCCTCCTTCGCGTTTGTTCTCTTTTCGGGACCGCTGCTTACCTGGGCATTCTCTTGTAGCTTTGTTTGTTTGTTTATTGGCCTCTCTCTTTGACTGTTTCCTCCGTGTGCTTGTGCCGAGGAAGCTTCAGGTGTGGGGTTGTTTTTGCTGCTGCTGTGCCGGCTGTATGCAGGTGGACGTTCGAGTGGGAGCTGTAGTCCCCCCCCTCCAGTCTGCGAAATTGTTGGAGCCAGAAGCTAGAGAAACGCTTCTTAACCTTTGGACACTGAAGGGCAGCAAAAAGAAGAAGAGCCGAGTTCGCCTCTAAGGCTGTTAACCAGCTGCAGCTAAATTGGTGCAGCAGCAGGAGCGGCCACGCCCATGCGAAATTTACCGTGCACAAGGCAGTTCCACTGCTCCCTCCAATGCTACAGCAGGGATCGTGAGGGCTGCTAGTAAGAGCTACGACTGCTACTTAGCGGTCTTTGGGCAGCGATAGCTCTGCTACAGCGGAGATATAAGACCCAGGGGGATGTTCCCACACATTATACGCGGTTTGCTTTGCTGAACAACTAACCCCTTTGTGATTTCTGCTGCTCCCCGCGAGCTGCAGCAGCCCCCCTGCAATTGTAGCTCCCTGTTAAGTATGCATCAAGATTTTCTGTGGGTTTCTCGCTGACTGCCACCTGTAGTGGCTAGTCAGTAGCCGCACTTCTGAAGGCTTTGGCTCAGGGTGTAGCGCCACTCGAAAAATGGTTCCGCATGGCGGATCCTACTCGAAAACCCTATCAAAGTAGAGGGATAGAGTCCTCACTAGAGCGCCCCTTCCGAAACGGCTTGTGGGCATTCTACTGCCAGTGTAAAGCTCTTTTTATGGTCTCCATACAGAGAGACTCGTCTGCAGACTCAATGCGAACATCACAGAAAGGTAAGTACTGAGTACTTTTTCGAGAGGAATTCCTGCTTTGCCCTGTTCGTGCCCCTCAGCGTTCCCAACAAGACGGGGAAAGCTAGGGTGAAGGCAGCTGCACCTCCTGAGCATTCTAAGCGTTCACCGCTGTACGCCCATTGCATCTCGTGAACGGGCGCACCACCCTTCCACTTCTCGTATCGAGCTAACCAAACTTTGGAAGAATAAGATATGGGAACAGACAAACCGGTTTTTAATAAGCTCCTAACCCTTAGCCTAATCTAAATAATGCATCAGCCGAAGAGCATCCCGCAGGCTGCAGTCTTCCTAACCCGTCACACAGAAGGCCTTAGGGGAGAGAGACAGACAGACAGATAGTCATGGTACAAGCGCTTTGCTCGGAATCCTCTATAAGCAATTGAAGTTTTTATTCGCGTCCCGCTTGGAAGCGCTCAGCACTCAGGCACTAACAACTGATTCGTGTTGCACGGAGCTGCAACAAATACACGCGCATAAACACACTCTAAGGTTCCGCAACCATTCACGCAGAGTACTTTTTGATTAAATATGGCTTGTTCCGTCGAAAGTGCCGAGGTGTAGCTTGGCCGCTATAGCTGGGGGGCGCGCTGCAAAGGTGTTAGCCGAAAGATATATCTACGGCGGTCCTTATTTGGTGTCTCTGACCCGGAGGTGCACTTTTTGAAGCAAGAAAACTGCAGTGAAACTCTTGGGGGACCTTCTCTGCTTAGTAGGAATGTTTCGGACCATCTACAGCTGCTGAACGGAAGGCTTGTCTGCATGGACGAGTGCCCATTTAGACACATAGGGGCTCCTCGCGGCTTCCAAGGCTACGCAATTACTAGTGTCAATCCCCCTTATGCGAACGCCTTAAAAAGTCCTCTAGCGAGAAGTGAACCGTCAATCAAGGGGGATTACCCTGCCGATGCATGCAACCGCCGGGCCCCGACACAGAAAAAGCCCTACAAACGCATGCCACGACTGAGGACTCGACAAAAGTATTCCCCATTCAGAAATAGACGCTGTGAGCAGATTCTAGAGCTGTTGGGGTGCTTAGAGCTTGCCATATGGAGGGCATTTTTTTCGTGCTGCTGGGACTACTGCGCGCGCGGCGGTGCGTCCCGAGCGACAAGGGTAGTTCCATGTATTTAAATATGTATGAATATATGTATTGACAAGCATATTTTGCCGGCAGCAGCAACCGCGAGCCGAGCCGACCGGCCCCTTTGACCCGGTGTAGACGCTTCGTCTGCTTCCGATCTCTTGGAAGGCAGCGAAGCTCGAAGTCCCCTTAGGCGGGGGAGAGGGGCCCTGTTGGGCCCCCTACTACGTGCGACGCAGAGTGGACGGCAAAAACAGCTGCAGGATGGACAAGGGGGGCTTAGAGGCCTCGGCGGATGAGGAGGTTCAGGTGTGTGCCTGCTGCTGCTGCTGCTCCTGCTGCTGCTGCTGCTCCTGCTGCTGCTGCTGCTCCTGCTGCTGGCACGGCTCAACATTGCAGCAAAGCCTATAGCGTAGGCCAGCCAGCATGCATGCAGGGCCCTGCGTGTGCTGCTGCCGTTGCTGCCGTTTTCTCTGAAGGTCTTAGTCGGAGAATCGCAAGACGGAACTGTGACAACGTTCCTTGCAGAGGCAGGCAACCCACCAGCAGCTGCCGTCGAGCTCCCTCCCACGAAGCGCACATCGGGTGCTGTCGTGGCTTCGGATGTGGTATCACCTGCAAAAAAGGCATCAAGGACGGCGGAAGCAGAAGCAGAAGCAGCCGAAGACATTGAAGACGTCCTGTGGGATGCTCCCTTCGCAGTGCCCGCGACCCCGCCGATAGTAAGGCATGCGACATTGTGTGCAGCACTTTTTGGCGATGGTGATGATTAGGATCAAGCTGTTGGTGTTCTTGTTGTTGTTGCGCCCATGCGCCTCCCTTCCGCACCTCGCTCCCTTCTTCGGCAGGGGATGCCTTGTTTCCGAAGGGCATCCTCCCTGTTGCGCGGGAGGAGGAGAACGCCTCCCTCTGTTTTCCTTCATCTCACCCCCACCCTTGGCTGTGCTTCGTGGTCTTCGCCCCTCTTCCCGCTTCTCCCTCGTCGCTGTTGCTGACGCGCCTCCCAAGTGTCACGACTCTCCTCGCGACTGCCCTCCGTGCTTGCTTGCTGTGAGCGCTGCAGCCCACGGGCCCCCCAGAAGCTGTGCGTGCTCCTGCCGATCCTAAAGCTCTGTGTGCAGCTGCGACGGCGGCAAGACAGGTACAACACGCCATAAAGCGGTCCCTTCAGCCTCATCACCCGTTCCGCAAGCAGGAGATGGGCACATAGAATCTGCGCTGGGAACGGAAGGGAGGAGGCGGAGGCGGACGAGGCTAAGCAGTCGCCGTCTCTCAGGGCTCTGTCTTACGTCGTGGAAGGCTGTTGTATCCCACCCTCTTTCGCTTGCTCTTGGCCTTCCTTTATTATGGGGTCTCTCCCTCTCTCTCACGGATGCTGCCTAGCTCTATAGGCCGCCGCACGCCGTAGCTATTCGTGGCTGTATCTCTTGGACTGTGCAAAAGCTCCTCTCTTACACAGCGTCGTGGGCACCCACGCGATGAATCGATGTTTCCTTTGAGTGCCTTTCGCTGCCTGCTTCTCTCCTCAGCCCTCTTTTCTCCGCATTTGTGGGCTCTCTTCGAACACACACTTATGACCTACACAATCAAGCTTTTCTAGAATAGAAAAGCGCACTTTTGCTTTTTCCGCCGCCTGGTTTTTCTACCCCGATCGGGTGTCAAACGCAGAGTCCTTTCTGTGCTTCGTCAATGTCTCCTGGGATGCCTGATACACACCTTGCCTTCCCGCGCGTGGATCTCTTTCTTTCTCTCTTCCTTTCTTTTTCTCTCGCTCTATATATATTTATGGGTGCGTGTGTGTTCTCTCGCTCTAGCTATATATATATATATCTCTGTGTGTGTGTGTGCTTGTGTCTGTGTATGTTTTCGTGTCTGTCTCTGTCTGTTTGAAAATGTATGTCAGCATGCGTTTCCCTTGCATCTTCTACACGCATACACATATGAACACAACTCTGTACTTTGCCACCTGATCTCCGAAAAATGCCGTTTTCTCTGTTTGCAGGCTCTGCCGGAGTGGGAGGTAAGCGGAAATAAGCGGTGGCTATACGCGCGAGATCGCAGCCAGTGGTTCAATTACGGCTTAGACCACACTGCGTTTGCAGAGTATCTGCAGCAGCAGCTCAACCTCAGACTGCAGCGCAGCAGCAAGCAGCCTCTTCTTGTGCAAGACGACTGGCAGCAGCACCAGCAGCAGACCCAGCACTCGCAGCAGCAGCAGCTTAACGCGCACTGGGACCAGCAGCCAGCGCACACCGAAGCTGTGCTGCTTAGGCAACAGCAGCAACAGCAGCAGCAATACTTGCAACAGCCGCGTGATACACCCTCCAGGACTGCACACGGGGCCCTTCACGCAACGGAGGATGCGTGGGGAGCTTTCGGACGGGTGTCGAACGCTGCCGCTGCACCAGGGCAGCAAGCTGCTGCAGCGCAGCTGCCGGCAGCTGCGCTGCAGCAGCTTGCTGCTCTGAACAAATTCCTTAGCGAAGAGCACCAGCAAGAGCAGTGATGCGGCTGCCTCGGGAGCCACTATGCCAATGCCTCCGGCGGGGGAAGGGGGGATGAGCACACAGGACGGGAAGAGGCCAGGCTGTCTTTACTTGGCAAAAAGTACAACCCTCCCCGTGCCTGTGCTGCCTCCGTGCAGACCCCCACCCGTCGCTTTAAGTTGGTATGCAGCTCCTCGAACAAGCGACCGCTGCATATATATATATATATGTGCGACTGCGACGCTGAACTGGTTTTTCGTTTTTTCTGGTGTCTGCAAATGTTATCTAGCAAGGTACCAAGCGAGTTTACTCGCGGGCTCGGGCTGATACGCGCATAGTCGGCATGCAGGGATGAGTGCCGTCTCTATTTGTAGGCAAGGGGGTGCGTGCAAGTGCTGAGGGTGGAAGGAAGGACGCCATGTATGGCGGCGAATAAATGTAGTGTTGCTTGCGCAACAGAGGCGGGCGCGGGGGGGGGGGGGGGGGGGGAGGTTGCCTGGGCTATGGGGGGGGCCGGTGGGGCCGCTACGCCGCTGGACCATAACTGCCTTGGTGTGGCTAGGGGGGGATGTGGGGGTGTTGGCGTTTGTGACGCCGTTCCTGCTGGTCGGGAAGGTCCACTGACCAATCCCAGGTCAACAGGGTGCGTGGTGTGGCGGGCCCCGGGGGGGGATGTTTGTGGGGGGGGGGGGGGGGGGGGGGGGGGGCGGGGGGGGGGGGCGGGGGGGGG